GCCGAATCCCCCCCCCCCCCTCCTCTAGTGCTGAGTGGAGGAAGGAACAGGGGAGGGGGCGGGTAAAGCTGGCTCTGCCTCTAGATAGGCAGAGCCAGCTGTCATTTCACGCAGCTGGGTGGATCTCGACAGCAATGTCAGGATCCGTACTGGCTGCGGCAGTCTCAGTATACCGCGAGCTGTAGCTGTAGCTCGTGGTATACTGAGCTTTGGGTCACGGGAGGAGGGTAGTATATGTACGTGACCCTAAAGAGAACTATGGGGTAAAACACTTACCCCATAGTTCTCTTTTAAGCGTTGAGGAAATGATAGGTTTCCGAGCTTTCTCATTTCTCCAGAACACTTAATATCCACAGACATTAACAGGGAAGTCAGAATCTTGAACAAAAAAATAGGATTTTTGTATTCAAAAACACAAAATCCTTTTCTTGGAGTCCATTGGAGGATACAGGTACCACCTTTCTGTCCTTTTCACTTGAAAAGACATAAAATCCTTTTTTTCTATTTCACTTGCCATTTTATGGCAAGTATGAAAATCCTATTTATCCTATGTAAGGTCACAGCTAGGATCGGATGAAAGGCATGGCCTGCCAGCAAAAACAGTGCTCTAGAAAGGACTTCCAACCATATACTGGTTGGGTCCTTGAAGGACAGATTTGTCCTCCTCCACACTAGTAAGTGCCCTGTTAAGGGGGAGCTGCTGGAACCACAATGGGAGTAGACTTCTTCACAAGATCCTCACCAAATGGATACAAGGCTAATAAGTGATCGGGGAGAGCAAATAGCTTGTCAGGTTTCCAATCTTCATAGAAAAAACGAATGGAAGAGAGTGGGTGCAAAGGGAAACCTTTGCAACCTTAGAAGTTTTAAATTACCCAAGGCTGAAAACAGCACTGGTAGAATCAATAGGCTGTCAGGAAGGGGCAAGGTTTAACCTAAGCTTTTCCAGTAGTAAAAGATACATGTATAGCCTGGGCCTAGGATCCAAAAGGACTCCACAGAGATCAACTTAAAAAAATTATCTGTACATCACTGTATTATACCATTCTCCATGTATTTTTTTTTTTTAATTTATCCAAATTATTTATAGCATATTACCTTTAAAGCACAGAATGTAATTGATGGATTGAATTGGACTTCACTTACCTCCTCCCCTCTCATCTGCTCAATCAGTTGCATAACTTCAATGAAATTCTTAGTCCGAACAGAGTGATCTACAAAGTGTGTTGGGAATGGACGATTCTGCCACAGTTTCCACTCTGACAGGGACAGCACATGGACATTTTCTGAGACTTGTTCCTAGGTTATACAATCATAAGAGTCAAATTATCATCCCACAACTGACTTCTGCATATTATACATATCTGCATGAGTGCACAATACAGCAGCGACATATTTTTGCTAACATGAATCCGGCTTCCCAGGCAATCAGGCGCTGTCATTACCCACCGCCCGGCTCATTGATTGGCCAGGAAGCAGACTCCATGCTGTTTGGCCGGCTCGATGTCGATTGGCCAGAAAGCCGGCTTACCAGCCAATCAGCATCAACCCGGCCAAACAGATCTGATAATATAGTGACACAACCTCCACCCTGCAGACACCCCGTTCTCCTCACACCCATACCCAGGAGCAGTCATTACCATACCACAGATGTCCCTCGGCCAGCTGAGCAGACACCGCTCTCCAAGCTGCTTTACCTCTCCTGGATCTGCCCACGTCTCAGTCTCGCGAGATGTACAAGCACCGCCTGACTCAGGTGTGTGTTTGCAGCACCTGCGCCGCCTGCGTGATCGGCCCTCAGCCTGCTCATGAGCATGCGCAGCCGCCCAGCGTTCTCAGTCAGAAATCCTCTAAACAGGATCAAGCAGGCGGTGCGAGCGCTGTACACACAGCGTAGTCAGGCCTTCGGTAAAGCGGCTTGGAGAGCGGTGTCTGAGGGACATCCGATGACTGCTGAGGATCGACATGTGTGATGTGAGGTAAATGAGGTGTCTGCGGGGTGGAGGTTGTGTTACCATATTATCAGATCTGTTTGGCCTGCTCAATGCTGATTGGCTGGGAAGCCGGGTTCCTGGCTCCATGTTCCCTCGTGGCACTGCCGGTCAGAGGAAATCTCCCTCTGACCGGAAGTTCCCGTATCGGAGCATTTGGGAGAGTACGAGTAGTTGCCCGAATACTCGGTATTGGTGCATCCCTAATTTAAACAATATGTGTTCATTTTATGGGTTCTGCATTTTAAAAACAGTATGTGGGCAATCTATGGGTTCTTCCAGGTACCAACAAATCTTATATTAATATAAACCTGTGGTGATTGGTATAAAAATGACCCTTTTGGGGATGTGAAAATCAATATATTGAAAGTAATATAACTTTTTCTACTCTTAATTTAGAATTTATCTTGTAAAATTTTTAACACATTCATCGGAACTACCATTTCTATTTTCAAACATTGAAGAAGCAAAAACAGAGACATACCAACTTAGTCAGAATCCAAGCTGATTTTTAAATATTAACATAAACCATTCTATGTGTTTGGGGGGGCTGAGGAACATCCACTTCATCAGGGCTTGAGAGCTGTGTAGCCTTACAATGGTAGGAATCAATAGAAATTATAGGTTTATGGCAATAGTTCAGAACTGCAGCTCAATAGCTAGTAGCATAGCATAGGATTTTTATTTTGAGTAAGTAGTAAATTAATAAATGACTGAAGCAGAAACTGGCAATATCTCCAGTCACTTTTGGCTCCATCATGTGTGGAGAGGAAATCCTATTCACCCTACAGCAGTTTGCGCCATATAAATGGACTATAAAACAGGCAGAATAAAAACTCCCTCAAAGACTACAAGAGACAAGAAGCTCCTGAGAGGTACGTTGGATTAGGATATCGATGATTGCTTACACCAACCAGCTTTTACCTAAACCTGAAACAAATTTAGGATAAACAAAACCCTTTACCACTAGTTAGTTGGTAAAGTGACTGGTCATACACACCATGCTGGTTTCTGGATCCCTGAAGAGCTCAAATTGTGTTCTGGGTAGAACCACATCTGTTACCCCATCCGATTCCGTCAAATTATACAAATGGTTCCAGGTCTCAAACTCTGCAGGCGTCAACGGCCAATCTTTATCTGTACCTTCGCTCTTAAAGAACGCAGAAGATTTGCGATGAATCAGGCTGGAGCGGCGGTCTTTGGAGATGGGCCTTGCTGTGTCTTTGGCATCATAGGTTCTTTGCGTGATGTACATCTTGTGCACATTTGGGTTTAAGCCTTCTGGAACCATGCGAGGGCTTTCGGGATTGAGGTGAAAAATTGAGTCATTACCCAGAATGGCTTTGTAGATGCTTCTTTTATTGCTCTGACTTTGGTTATACGTCTATGTAGAAAAGAAAAGCAGGTTAGATTTAGGCCCTGACAATTCCCATAATGTAATCTGTCAGCACTATGAGCCAATCTGGTGTACGCAGTGCTCATGTGCTGACAAGGAACATGCCTACTTGAGAAGAAAGCATTAAGTGAGAAGAAATGACCGTCAGTCTGCTGTTGCCCTTTTACTGACCAATCACAAGTTGGAGGCAGGCAGGTGACCAAACTATACTGCTTAACAGTAGCAGAGAAAATTTGGGTCACCAACCTGGTTCTACTGCTTGCCTAAGTTGTGTAAATCTTGGTACTGGGTGAACAGCAATAAAAAAACATGTTAGCTGGTATAAAAGAGCTCCCATATGGGTATTTCGCCATTTACCTGGAGTTCAGCTTTAATATTTTAACTATTCTCTAAAGGCCAGAGTTTTTATTTTGCTTTATTTGACTTATTTGCTTTGACTGGAGATCTTGCGGACACCCCCATATATGAAATACAGCACATGGTCATCTTCCTACATACGGTTAGTAGCTGGAATGTTAGACGTGGAATGAAATGAAAAGCGCAGTGTTTTGTTACGTTTACATAAAAACATTCTGGAGCCATGTAGAGGCCAATTGTTATACAAGCACTTCCTTCTATAAATGAATGGCAGCAATACATTTGTCTTGAGGCACCGTCAGTATAAAATAGCCGGTCTGGTTTATGCCAGTGAAGAGTCTATTTCCCTTTCACCAGCTCACAGCACCTGGATTTTAACCATGCACAGTACAAAGATCAGTTTCCTGGCTGTCCAGTGACAGGAACTCAATCAATTATGAAAATTTGGCAAGTGCCATTAATTTATATTAATATGGAATTGTGCTGCCACTAACATTAAGGCCTCATTCACACGAGAGAAAAAGCCGGCACGTACAGCTCCGTGCTGCGCGCACGTCCATATCGGGCAGCTCTCTGGAAGGAGAGGTGCTGCGTGTGATTAGTACGCAGCCCCTGTCCTTCTCTATGGGAGTACGCGGCCGTACCTCATCCGTCCGTGGGGGTGTCCGTACTCGCATGCCGTCAGGATGGATCCTGTCTGCGTCCAAGCCGGGACACCCGCATCCGTACGGACCTGCACTTGGGGTGAGCGTAGTGCGGCGTACGGACGCCTACTCCCATAGAGAAGGAGAGGGGCTGCGTACTAATCACACGCAGCACCTGTCCTTCCCGGGAGCTGCCTGATACGGCCATGCAAGGAAAACGGAGCTGTACGTGCTGGGTTTTTGTCGTGTGAATGAGGCCTTATGGTTACAGAAAACCCACAGCAGACGTGGCTGGAATGAGAAAGAGCTCATGTAGGTCCTTTGTGCTGTGGGATTAGACAGGAAGCACGGCATTCAATATTTAACTCAAACTGGTATGGTGGACCTACCCGCTCTTCCCTGCCCTTGCACAATATGACTGCAATCCGGCCTTGGCGTTTCCTTCCTGTTCTTCCCATTCTCTGTACCAGGCGGATCGGACTCTTCTGAGCATCAAAACAAATTATGAGATCCACTTCTCCAATGTCCAGGCCTTCTTCTCCGACACAGGTGGAGACCAGTGTGTTATAACCGCCTTCCCGGAACCGCTTTACCACCTGAAGAAAAAAAGCTATGGTCACTAGCTGTGACAAATGTTTCATATGAGCTGACCTATGACAACAGAAAGCAGTCATGTGACCACTTCTGAAAATGAGCAAAAAAATAATCCAGACTCCGTGTTATCACATTACATTGCGAGAGGCAAAAATTACCAGATATGCTTATACCAGATAAGATGTAAAGACTAGGTATTGAGTCCCTTTCTCCACCATGCCTAGAAATACTGTATAGTTCTTTACTTCCTTGCTTTTTCTTTAGACTTTGAAAGTAAAGGGGAGGTGAGAAATAGTAGCGGTGGGGCTGGAACTGGTGTTTTTGCAGGCAGCTCCTTCACCTAAGAAAACAAGAGCACTGAAGGCATCTAAAGGCTCCTGAGAACATTCACGTTTTAGGTCAAATTCACAGATGTGGAATGATTGCTTTTTGCACTCGCCATAAAATCCTTTTCTTGAACTCCATTGAGAGGCACATGAAGTCTTTCACCATCAGGTTAAACTGCCGCCTACAGGAGGATTGGACACCGGCAAACAAAAAAACTGGAAGCCAGCACAGGATAACACGTTCTTACTAACACCATGCATCAGTTTTGTAGCAAAGCAATACTAAAAGCATGATCAAAAACAGAGGGAAGGGACCTGTGTCCTTTAATATACTCCAAGTTAAGAAGACACAGGCTCTAGCAGCAATGTAGAGAGGAGTCTTGATTGAAAAAGGAAAGTCTTGAAGAGTAATAAAAAAAGGGGTTACCAAAAATAGGTTGGTCTTTCATTCAGAAGAGCTGAAAAAAGCAAAAAAAGTGAGTCAAGGTGGTAGTAGGATAAGTTCCAGGGCTGGCCTACAGTTTTTGTGGGGGGGGTTTTGCCAGAGACCAAGCGTACTGCAGACGGCAATATAACCCAAAGGTTTGTGTGTTCCTCAATGGATGAGAACTAAAGACTAAGCAAAAAAATAGCGGGTCGGCATTTTGTGGTAGTCCGATGACCATGCACAATCTGATTGCTGAGAAACAAAAAATCCTCCATGTCATTTGAACATATTGTATACTTCACTGCAGACTCTTACTTTTAGCTCTTTAGTAGGGACGTAGACGCTCCTTCCCTATACTAACTGGGAGAGCCTGCCTAGCTGTAGTCCCCGTGTTAAAGAGCAAATGCTGAGAAAAGGAGTGAGCCATTCCCAGGGGTCATTCTAAATATATACAGTGTACATAAAGCCCCCAGTTGAGATGATCATGAGGAGGTGAGAGTTTTTGGCCAATTTTAGAAAATCGTAGGTAGGTAAACTGAAAACGAAAACATACTTTTTGGTAACAATAACTTACAAAAGTCTTGGGTAGTTTACATTACATTGACTTAATCATGATGGTTTCCTCTATGTTCTCTGCAAAACTGCATTGTGTCCAAGAGGCAGCTTTGTGCAGTATCCCATGGAAACAGATGAGCACAGGGAGGGAGGAAACAATTCTGTAGTACTTAAGATAAATCAGGGCCAGAGTAAAGCATCATAAAAAAGGTGCTGAAGGCACAGAACCCACCTCAATCTGCTCTTTCTGGGTGAAACCTTTCACTCCTTTTCCAGTGGATGAATGTCCCACAAAGGTCATGACCCGGACAGTGGGCCGATGGCGGTCCAGCATTTCTGCTATCTCTTGGACGCTGTCACGGAATGAAGAGAAGATCATGATCCGAGTGTCTTCAGAAGAGATCTGCCCTGCAAAAAAGTGAAAACAAAAAGTTTCTGAAGGTTCTCAATTATCCAGGTGATGCAATATCTAATAGTATACAGTTATATCGAATTGGACTTGGTTCTGTAACATTGAAAACATTTTTGCCACTCATCCAAGTAATCCAAGGCTGGGCAAAAGGCAGCAGAAAGGACCACAGATCTTTGAGTGAGAGCAGCGGTATCTCTGCAGCAGTCTGATGCCTCCCCTACACCCTGTAAGGGTTTTTCAGTGACCGTGAAAAGAATATTAGTCTAGGCCAGGGGTGCCCATAAGGTCGATCGCGATCTACCAGTCGATCGCGTAGCGATCACTGGTAGATCGCCATGTCCTCTCCTCCCGCCGCTTCTCTGGATCCCCGCTGCTCTCCCCAGCGGGGATCCGAGAAGAAGTGAAGGAACCAGTGGCGGGGGAGGGCAGAGGACAGAGCCGCTGTCTCTAACTAATGCAGAGCAGTGAGGAGAGAGAGACGCTCGGCCAGGATCTGACAGCCGGCGCCTCTCTCTCCCCTCACTGCTCGTCCGTTCTGTCACAGCTGCTCCCGTGGTGCTCGTGCGGCTGCCGGCTGAATGTGTCAGACACTGCAGATGGAAAGGTGCAGGACACCCCATGTGCAACATCGGCCACACGAGCACCACGGGAGGACAGGACGCCGGGACATGTAGGGCGCACTGGAATGTAAGCCGGCCGACTCCCTGCGTTCAGGTGCGGGAGGGGGTGTGGAGCTGTATTGAAATCAATGGCATTGCCCACATTGCGATCGCTCGCACTCGGAACGCAGGCACATTAGTGCCTGCATTTCGGTCCAGTGCGATCTGCAAAAATAGTGCTCGCAGCATTTTTGCGGATCGCACTGAACTGGAACAAAGGCACTAATGCAGGCGATCGCACTGTGGGCAAGGGGCCTGCCTGCGCAGCCCACGCCCCCTCCCGCCCCTGAATGCATGTGTTTTTTCGTTGGTAGATCTCAATGAGCTCGTCATTTGAAAAGTACATCTTCAGATGAAAGATAGTGGGCGCCCCTGGTCTAGGCATATTCATTTGTATACTTCATTATGCAGGCACTGGTGTAAATGGTTCTATGTGCTTCCTATATTCTAGAGCAACCTTTCTCAACAAGGGTGCCATGGCACACTGGGATGCCTTGTGGCTTCCTCAGGGGTGCCTGACAATTTTGTGACAGTGGAACTCTGATTTGAAGTGGGCTCCTGATGTGAGGGGGGAACTCTGTTAAAGGGGGTACTCTGATATGTTATGGGGGACTTGGTTATAAATGGGGAACTCTTGTGTGAAAGGAGGCTTTGATATGAAAGAGGTGCTCCTGATGTGAAAAGGGAATCTAATGTGAAAGGGGGGGAACTCTGATGTAAAAGAGAACTGCTAATG